TCAGGTCCAAGCTTCCTGCCACCACAGATCAATAGTTCTACAGACAATTTAATACACGACACAATACAAAATATTATAGGAAATGATCTGGAAAGCTTGTAATGGCAGAGTACCAATCAGAGATGTGTTGCAACGTGGGTGACTGCACGCTTACTGTACTATAAGTTGGGGTTATATAGAAAGCAGCTCTTTGTTCGTCTCCTTTTCACTGTAATCACAATGTAATTATGAAGTAAAAGTTATGGCTTTAAAATGAAGCTGTGTCTTGGTCACTCCTTTGTCATGCTGTTACATGTAATTCAGGTGTAACGTGTACAGTATAGTTTTCTACAAATCCTCAAAAGGATCAGGGTTTAGATTCTGATTCCAAACTGCACGACTGGGCCCAGTTGGACAGGATTCATTCTCCAAGGAATCATTTTAATTAGTGTAACTGTAATAATTAGTGAGTTATTTGTTATTGTTAATCCCCTCCTGGGCAACCGCATAGGTTGTTTTTTTTCCACCTCAACACAGGTATTAATTTCAGCAGCCAATTCCCTGTTGTTTTCATGCGCCCTTGAAGGTGGTCCAATAGCCTGACTCCAATCCACAGAGAAACTCCCCTGGGTTTCGTTTCATTTGCACATGATGTGGGTGTCAATCACTCTGCAGCATTTTCTGACTGCCAAAGAGCGTCTCGTCTGTGAGAAGGAAGACAGGCTGACATTAAAGCTTTGGAGCAGTCACTTTTTAATTCAGCTGCTCGGATACCATCTCCAGCTCTACACCCCGTAAACCATTAAGGTGAAGACAAAGTTAAAGTCCTTCAGGGGAGGTAGATCCTGCAAGATGCTATGATGTGTCATTGTAATGAAACCTACTGTATATACGGACTGCATGATAAGCAGGGTTGAAGAGTTAGTATTCATATTTTCAGATACTTATTTTCAGTGATAATTCTGTTCAAGCTTCCATAATGTAGCTAATTAACTGTTTTAAGGGTTTCTATGCAAAAGCCTTTTAAAAGTCCCCTGACACACAAGTCATAGGAACTGATTTGATCTGGGGCTTAAAGATGGGTCCCTCAGCATTTTACCAAAATTAAATTATAATGACTAAACTATGACTAACCTGTGCAACCCCTCTGCTCATAGCACACACACACGCAGGCACGCACACACACACGCACGCACACACGCATGCACACAAAATCCCTACAGCTTAATAAAAGAAAAAGACTGAAATCTTTTGAAACTTAATCACCCGTGCTCCCCTGTAATTCCGTCTGGAAGCGGCTCTACGGATGAAGTTTCAACTCTGTGACAGACAAAGTTAAGCTACAGTAAGTGACAGTGACATTGACTGCAGGCTTACCCTTCCATAAATCCAATAGAGATGAATGTAACAAAAGCAGAGCCATAGCTGAGACAGCAAAGTAAGAAGAAATCCGATGAGGATGTCTCTATACGAAGCATATTGATGTGCTGTAGTTAATATCTGGCAGGTTGCCATGAAAGAGCACTGGCTCTGAAACTAATGCACACCTGTGGGCATAAATCAATGACAGCCGCTCATTTTTTTATGGAATTGAATTGCAAAATAATACCATGACAGTTGAATCCCTGGATACATCTCATTAGGCGCTGTCTTCCTTCAAATTTCTTTAAGCAGGATCCTAAATGATTCAGCAAACCTTCCAGTTCTTCTGTTTTTGCACAGAGGCACTCAGATGGCTTGGTGTACTCAGTGATTCACTCTTCAGTCTATACCAATTACTTTGATTCAAACCGTTGAACTAACAATATCATGCTTAAACAGAAAAGAACAGTGGATTAAAACTCAGTGAAAACTGTGAAGCTGTTAGCTTTGCCGCTCTTCAAGCGAGACATGTTTCACATAAATTAAATACATTCTACAATGAAGCAAATTAAAAAAGCTTCAATAAACCTCTCTGCTGTCATGAGCATGTGTGATACAAAAGCCATACAACACAATTGCTTTGATTTGTGTCCTTGGTTGTTTCTGATAATTAATTTCCCTCCTTTGGCTCTGCTGTGATTTTCGTGTACCTGCAGTATATCTTGCTGTGCCACTATCCTGATATGGAAGCCATTCGTCCCTTATTAGGTCAGGGGATGAATAGTGAGGTCACTACACCTGATAGAGCAGCATTGGCAGTGTGGTTTGTGCATGACAAGAGAGCAATTATGAATTTATGTTATTACTCAGGACAGTCACATTAATAATTGTCAATCTGTATTCCAGAGGGAAACACAGAAAGAATAGCGATTGAACAAGTGATGCAATGAAGGATTAATATCTGGAGTTATCCTGAGGAATTAATTATGAAAGAGCGTGCAGCTATTTTCTGAGAATAAAGACAAACTGAGCTTCATAATTGATAACAACCATGCTAAAAGATTAATAATTTTATTATGATAGAACCCTGTTCTCTGGTGTTTGGCTTCAGGAGAGGCTGCTTGTTTAGGAGACACTTTGGATTTCACTCAACTCTTTTTCTGAGATTAATTTAGGCCAAGAATACAAATCTATGTTGTCTAATTATTTTCTTTTTGTAGCCCAGCTTTTTGATATTATTTGGTCATATTATATGGATGTATTTTCAAAATACAAGCAGAATATTTAGCTTATTGGTACTTTACTTGGGTGTTTGAGCTTCTGCATGATCATGCATTTACAAAGTTTGACTCCAGTAGGAAGTTTTCCTCTGCTAGGGGGAACATTTCTCTATGCTTATTTTAAATGTGAGTTTAAGAGCTGGTAAGTACGAGCATCATTTTGTGACCTCATGAGTGGAAGCCAATCATAATTCTGGTAAAATGAACAAAAGTGAGTTTTGATAACAAAAAGCTGGCAGCAAAAAAAAAAAAAAGCCACCGAAAAGCTTAACTGAGGACCTCCCTGTATGACACGAGGAACACCAGTAAGAAACGCAGACGACCCGACACCAAAACAGGGAAAGCACACTGTCACAGAGTGAGTACACAAGGACAGCATGGCGATTGGCTGGGCAGACAATCAAAAAGGCAGGAAAACACTAAAGACAGGAAGCAAAACCACACAAGACACATGAGTAGAGTGAACATTCAAAATGAAACAGGAAACACACAAAGCCAAAACCCAGGACCATGAAAGACCCATTATGCAATTTACATAAGTGTGATGTGGAAACTTGAAAACTGCAGTGAACGCAGAATGGATTCTTCAGAGAAGTAGAAGACATCTTGTGAAGTTAAACTGCTGAAATCAACCACATTTGCTTGTTCATGCATTCTAGAAGTTTTAATGAGGTACAATTTTAAGGAATTTAACAAGGTTTGTAATGTCACCTTTTTTTTGTGGAAAATGCACAAACACAAGTTATTACTGCATTACAGAGTATTTTCATGAATACTAAATATATGGTGCCACTTTTCTTTTCACCTAAAAGTTAAGTTGGAGCAGTAATAATGCAGTAAATGTTGAGTTACTCTGAGAAATGAATGCATTATGAATCCCACGTATAGACGTATCAAATATTCTCAAACCTTTGATAAACATGCAAGTCGATGTAGTTATGCATTGTGCAAATGCATGGGTAGGCCTACCTACTGTACCCGGTGACATCAACTGTCATGTCAAACACCTTCAGTGTCTGCAAAGGAATATACAGTATGTACCACCTTACTGTGTACATTAACTGTAGCTGCTAGATCTAGCCTGTAGAGCTAATATCATCCTGTTTCTGTATAATGACTCCACCATCCAAACAGTGTGTGTGGTGTGATTTCACATGTAATACCCTGTTGTGTTCACACATGTCAGGCAAGCAGAAACTCCTCCCAGGAGAAAGCCTACAATAACCCTCTCTATCAGTGCAAGTAGACAACATCACTTCATATGCACAAGTTCAACTCTTTATGTACATGGAAAGTGCCATGGCAGGGCCAACCAATGTATAGGCAAACCAAGAAAAGCTAAATAATAAAGCTTGTCTAAAATTAATATGGACATCAGATCAAGACCTGGACTTTGCAACATGAAATGAAAGCTGAACCTTGGTGCCGACATAAGGTTTCACTTACTTTTGTTTTTGTACTTTGGTCTTGGTGTTTTTTCTACATGGGAGCAGAGGGAAGACAATGATGAAAGGCTAAAACATGTCCAACCATCTTTATTTCTTCTGCCTGCTAGAGTTGCTGCTTTCATTCATTTTTACTTTGTGAAGTGTGTTTTCAGGCTGCACTTTCAAAAAAAAAAGAAAAAAAGGAAGAAGAAAAAAAATGTACTTTCCTTTTTTTTCCATTGAGTCAGCTTTTCAAATCGCACTTTGCATCGAGAGCCAAATATTGCTTAAAGATTAATTGCTTTCAGCTAAACTTGTTTGTCTCGTTTTTTAATCTTCAGATCAAAAGATAATAAAAAAAAAGATTCAACCGTATCATCTCTCGCAACCTTGTGGCTGTACTTTCAAATCCAACATGAACTTTGATGTGCTCTTTGAGACATAATGTACCATTCCCAAAGGACTTGACTCATTCGATCGTTAAAGGATTGTAATAAATGCTTTCTGTTATTTACATGACCATGGGATTCTGAATAAAAGCTGACCGGGCCTATATGTCAACTTATATACATCCTCATGTCTTATTCAGAAATACCATCGCAGAGACAGAACGAGGAATCACACAAACACTAATAGCAAGGGGGACGTAAGCAATGTAAAATATGATAATTTGTCCGGTTTTTCATTCAACCTTTCGGCCCTCTTCAATAGACAGATATGTTCTGGCTTCACCGTGGCTCACTGGGTTAAGAGGGTTGTCTGGTAACCGCAAGGTCAACGGTTTGATCCGAGACTGGGCCGTGTCACGTGTCGAAGTGTACCTGAGCAATACACTGAACCCCAGGCTGCCCGGGCGCCTGTCATTGGCAGCCCACTGCTCCCTATATACAGGGATGGGTCAAATGCAGAGACAAATTTCCCCCTTAAAGGGATCAATATAGTATAATAAATAAATTAATTAAATTACAAGGCTTAAGAGCCACAACGTTTACTCGGGGAGACATGATAATTATCTATGCTATGAGATCATTTCACAGCCTCTGGCTATGAAACTCCAAAATATGGAGACAGAAAGAGAGCGAGAGATCAAAAGAAAGAGAGAGAAAGAGAGCATTCTACAAGACTGTACCGTGGCACCTTAACTTTCACTTTGCTGAAGTGGCTGTGGATGTTTTTCATAAAACGTATATTACATTAGGGCTTTGAGGAGATGACAGGGAGGATTTCACAATACAATTAGAATTCATCAGAGAAACTTCAATCTCTTTTGTTGATGTGTCAGCCAAGATAGAAGTTGTTTTGTTGCGAGACTGTAAAATAGTTCTGGCAGGTGTTTCCTGCCTCCTTTCGTTGACTTCAAGCAAATTACTTAAAAGTGCAGCAGACATTCACTTTTGTTGTAGCTTCCCAACTTCCGAGGGAATTAAAATACATCATAAGGCCCTGAGCAATCAAATCTGGACAGATGACACCGAAAACAAAATAATGCAGAAAAGTGAGTCTGAGCACAAGTCCTTCGAGGTAAAAGTTTTAAAAAGAATTGAAGGAAGAAGTTTCAAAGCAGCCTGGTTTGTAGTCCTAATCCAGGATGAGGTGAATTTGAAATCAATTATGAACTCAGTGGGATTATTGACAGATACCACCTAATCATTACAGCATGTGAACAAAACGACTTTTCTTGGGAACTTCCATTAATTTAGCTGAAATGGAACGGTGTGCAGCAGCCCCGCAAAGCCATGTCTGGATCAATGAAAAGGAACCACAGAACAATCCCAATTGATCCCCTCTGCTGAAATACACCAGAAGGCACCGTTATGGTACAGAACGTGTTCGATTAGATTCCACAAATCCTTCACACAACTATGAGAGAGCAACAGAGAGCATGTGTGATAAACAACTACTGGCATTTCTGAATTTACTGTGGGAATATAGTATGGTGTTTTAAATGTGCTGCGGGTGTTATGTGTGTGAATACATGGAATTTGTATTTGTAATGAGAAGTAATTTTTGTAAATGGTGACATCCGGCGTTTGTGCCATTTAAATGGGGTGACTAAGGTGGTCTGAAAATGGTCTTTCAGAGTAGCTCTCCAATACACTAGCGAACATGCAGATCAAAATGCACAACTTTCAATAATGATACCATATTATCACTGACTATCATACCGTATTCACATAAAAAAATCTTCTATAGTATTTATTTTCTGTTGCCTGACTGCATGGTACGTTTTGGAATCGTTCATGGTTCCAAAGACCAGCCATAGCCACACTTAAACACACCTGTGTTTACATTATACCATGATCTATGGCCTTAACATTTTTTATTTCTGAATTTGATCGCTTGTCTGACATAAATCCAAATTACCGTTTATTGTATTTAGAAAATAGAGAACGGTCATGCCACTTCCTAATAGCGTGGTTTCTGTGTTTGTCAGTTTCCCACTTGGCACGGCTACTTCTTCAGCTTTCGACTATAAAAGAATCCAAATGAGCCCAATCAAAAAACAAACATCACAGGTGAGGCCAACAGCCTGAAGTCAATGCAGGCCGGTTCTGATACAGTCTGATATAGCAACCACTGGAGCGAATCCAGCCTGTTGTGTATCCTGTGACAGCCGCTGAGCACAGATAAAGATGCGTGTGGTCAAACATGCAGACTTTGATCTGATGCTCCTGTCTCTATGAACAAGCGTCCAGCCATCCAAACAGCCGCATGCTGTGTATGGAAGAGTGGAGAAATCAATGCTAATAAAGCTCTCTGCATGAGCCATTTTATATTTAATAAAGATCCCCCGATGAAGATTTTGGTCATTTTTCCCCATTGTTGTCAATCGTGTAGTTTGAGATACAATGGGGATGCACATCATTTTACTGAGTGACACTTGTAGCCTGGACCGCGAGATGGGGGAATCAATAAATGAAGAAGAACAGCAGAGAGAGCTGTTTAAGATCCCGATCACATAGTCAGGTGATATTGTAAACCCATAGACTCAGAAAGGCCATACAGAGGCTAACAAATCTTCATTCTCAAACCAAAACAAAGATAATTACAAAGCTGTATTTTAATTGCAGGTGATCTTGTCTCAAGACATTTTTTAAATCTCTTCTCTAATTAGCTAACTTACTGCTTTTAACAGAGAAAACTTTTTTTTAATTTGAATTAAAAGCCATTGTAGGCTGTGTCAGAGGCCAGTCACTGATGTTGCAGTTCCCTGTGATTACTGATGAGGGTTGATAAAATTTACAGATTACCTCCAACCGTGTGTCTGTGTCTGTTTATGAGTGTGCATGCAAATGTGCTTTGCCTCAGGCGTGTTTCATTATATGTGCGTGAAGACGTGACTGTGTTTACCCATAAAAAAATCATCAAAACCCAACCTCAGGTACCATAAAGCACACGTCTCCTTGTTATTGAAGATACTGTGGAGACACGATGGTGAGAAGAAGTAAATTCTAGTGAACACTGTGAATCATCTCAGCGGTTTATTGCCACTTCATGCTGATTGAAATGCCAAAAGGATGACTCTCAATGCCACATGATGAGAGGAAGAAAATCACTTCCTTCTTGAGAGATAGTCACCACGAGCATCAGTTACCACTATCTATTCAAATTCGTCCTTATATTGAAAAATATAAAGAAGGGGTATTTTTATTATGTATGTCCATGTTATCCTTAGCACCATAATAACCTCCTTAAATTATGGGTGTGACTCCCGTTTATTCATTTCAGTGAACCTGCCTTCTCAAACAGTTTTTTTGTGTTTCAATTTATCAAAAACAACGTAAAAGACAGATTAATGTTTCAGTGTTGGAATCATAGTTTCCTGATTGGAATAGGCTTGATTCATTACAATCATGGATCAAATAGCAGATGTACATTTTACCAGCCAAAACCATTTTAATGAAATGTACAATATTTTAATTTGAATGAAAATGCACAGGTCTTCTCATATGGTTTTCTTTTATAAAAAATACAAATGTTCTTACAGTTACATACATGACAGCAATATCTTAAAGGCCACTCTTTAAAAGAGCTACTACATTTCATAATTTGCTAGCTTAATGTGGTAGCAAATATGAAGGAGAAGTTGGTTGCCTTTCATTTTTAAATAGTTTTAAATAGACTTTTAAATAGACAGAAATGCAAACACTTTTAGCTGAACAAATTTGCAACAAAACACAGCAATATAATAGGAAATCACTGCAGACAAAATGTGGACATTCATGCAAAAGCTTTCTAGAGTGTTTGGTTGGCATACCCAACAAAGCAAATAAGGCATTCCAGTCAGATCAGCAGCAAAGAAAAAAGTCTAAAAAAATGTACATCAGTTTTTCCAGTAAGGTATCAAGTCATTGGTGTCCATGCTTAGTTCATCCAAGAATCCAGAGCCACAAATTAGAAAAGTTCAAGTAGTGGCAAGTAAAGATACCATCGTCCATTTTGACTAAAGGAAACATGGAGGTCCTTGTATCACAAATGATGGTGCTTTAGTCGTGGTTGGAAAAGTATCGTGTTTAAGAGTCATCATCGGTTTTTATGACATGGAATAGGGTGACATTAAATATTACCTGGTGTCCGTTATTCCAGGCATACAGTGCTCTCTCTTTGGCGTTGTATTCGAGCATGGAGATATGAAAGTACTGGTTGTGGAAAGGAATGTCTATGTATTCGTAACTTGAAGTCTTCGTAGAGTAAGAGTAGTAAACTTTTGCCCCCGACAGGTGAGAGTTAGTGATATAGAGCGTCCCACAGATCATGAATGATTCACCCGCATTCCTTTTGGAGTATTCGGTGTTCCAAGTCTTCAGTACCTGCAGGGTGTCAGGATCTATCTGGGAGACGACGACATTTCCAGCGTTTTGATTGGTCGCGTAAACAACCCACATTCCCAGTTCGTCAGCCATGACATCAATGTCGGAGTATCCCCCCCATGTATATGGGTACATGTTGTGGAAGCCGGCGAACTCCAAAGCCCGCTGAGCCAGCACGCTGCCTGTCTCGAAGCTGTACTTGACAATAATGTTGCTCTGGTACTTGTTGTAGTAAAGCGATCCATTGTAGACAATGTGATTGGTTCCCTCCCATTTAAATGGGAGGCTGTAGGTTCGGGAAACCACACCTGCTACAAAGTCGTCCATAGTCTTGAACTCACGCACAATCTTGCTGTTAGTGTAACTGTCCATATACCAAACCTACATCAGAGAAGATGGAGAGAATGGGTGGGGTGAGAAACAGCCGACATCTAATACAACCATCAAAATAAACTATTTCCAACCTCTATTTAAATTATATATATTTTTTAAATGTATGTAATTCTCTTGCATAATGCAGACATGTATTTCAAATGTGTGCAATTTTGGAACATCATTATAGATTAGCAGAAATCAAACCCACTCCATGATAACAGACAATCCCATCTTTAGCTGACATTCTAAAAACACAATACAAATATATACTGTACACACTGCACAGCCCCCAGAAAGCAGTCCCCTACTTTCATAACTCACCCTGTTGTTTCTGGTTAATGCTGCAGGATCAGTCATCCATGCCCCAAACCGGGTTCCAGATGTCTTTATTGTAACAGGTCCAGTGATTTTCATTAATTTCCCACATGCTGTTAATAAAGAAATGCAGCGATAAGATGTGCTGTGGTGGTTTTGGTCTCAAACTAGAATTCTCAAGCCAATTTCATGCCTGTACCACCAGAGAGTGTGCCCTCTGTGCATACTAAGATGGCACTGGCAGTGAGCTGCTTTATTTAACTTTTATTTAATGGTGCAACTGCTGTTTGTAGTTTCAAGCAGCACAGCTTTCTCATGCCTAGCCCATATTGTTTCCTTTAATGCGCCTCAAGATTATCTATATACGGACCTCACATGTCTTATCATCAAAATCTTTTTTTTTTGCGAACTGCTACATGTAATGTGTAACACTTGGTTTGAGCACAATAAGCAAAGAACATTTTTTGGAACAAAAATTAAATAAAATACTTTACTTACTAGATTTATTTACCACAAGATGCACCTTTCATGCTAACTTAATCAGTGCCACCCACTCACATTCAAAACTAAAAATATAAGATTTTTATATATCTATATAGTATTTTTTTTAATTTACTTCTCAATTTATGGTCTTATTTAGAAAATAATTGTTGTCGAATGATGACTTCCCTGTAGGATTAGTGATTGCTGTGTTTGTAGATATCAAGTCCAATACCAGCTCCATTTTCTAACCTATATGAGGCAATTATGGAGTATATGTTACTTTAAACTTTATTAAAATAGTCATATGCATACGGGCACATACATATAACTTCACTTCTGGATCTAATCCATCTAAACATTTAAGAGCAGTGCACGGGGAGGGGAGCAACTTGGGCTTCAGCGTTTCCCTCAAAGAAACTTCAACAAGCAGACAGTAAGAGCCGGTGATCGAACCGGCAACCTTGTGGTTAAAGGAAGGCCCACTCTCGGTTTTTAAAGAAGGCTTCTTTAACAGATTTTAGAACATCTTAATGTTTGAAGAGCTGAAGGCTGTCAATACACCATGTCCACAAGAACAAAAACTAATTGCTTCTTTTCTTCAATGGCATGGGATCGAGGTGAAAACACAATGCCATTAAACACATTTTATAAAAGGAGCATATTTTTGGTGTGAGATGTAACACAACAGAGAAAAGCATTACAGCAACTAAAAGTGGGATTCTAATAGTTACCTGCTACCACAGGTGAAGTGTAATGAACACTGGTCATACTAGTTTGTGGTCTTATACTTCGTAACTACAAGGAAGTCAGGCTACAGAGTTGTCTTTTAAGATCTACATTTCTCCTTTGGTTATTTTCTTCAGCAGCAGCAACAGCCGTATACAATGAGGACAAAAGACTATTATGATAGTGATGTAGTTGTTTCAATTCATGAAATCATGCAACCACTATTGTAACGCCACTAGTAATATTAATTCACCAATACCATTGCCAGCACTATCCCCAATAAGACAATAAAAATCACTGCACACTCACACAGGCAGTGTTCACCACTTACTTAATTTGCCCATACAGCTGCGGAGCCTGCTGTCCAGTCGTAGGACCCGCTGATAGAGCTCATCGTAGTCAAAGGCCCCAAGCTCCTCCTGGATACCTGTCAGCACTGCCGATAGGTTCCTGATCTCCTCCTTGAAGTGGAAAATGAGCGCAGCATCCATCTTGTACTGCTCCAGTACAGGGATCAAGGGCTTCAGCTCGTCCATCTTGTCCTTAAGCTCCTGCAGAAGTGACAGTGACAGAATGGAAAACAGAGAGAGGTGGTACAATGTAAATAAGTGTGATGGTCAGGGACAAACAGTTTGTTTGACAGAGGAGCAAGCCCCACACATATTCAGTATTTGCTATCAAAAGAATATAACGGCATACCCACTGTGGAGACTGTGCCACTGGTGACTGATTAGGAATTAAACACGTATCCCTTGTTGCTTCAGTGCTCTTTATATAATGTTAGCATATGTAGTCCCAAGAGACAGTAAGTGAACAGTGTTATTGATCAGGAGAAAACAGACTGACCTTGTGCTGTATGAAGCACTTAATGGAACTATTAGCCAACCATGAAGGAATTAGCTTTTCATTATTTATCCATGCATTTACCCTTTCAACTTGTGATAAACCACAATTATCCACCATGTATTTACAAGGTTAACTAAAACATATCTATTCCTGTGTTTAACTATTCAGATTTGTTCTTAAACCATGGCTTTATCTCATTCTTGCCATGCTGGTGGTTGTTCCACACAGTTCTCATTCAGTGTCTTGCAACTTGCCACATTAGAGATATCCCTACTCCCATACCAGCTGTCCAGTGCAATCCACACAGGACAACTGCAGCAGCTTGTATGTATTCTTTATTTTCATGTACAGACAAAAGGTCTGCACGCTGACAAAGAAGTTATATAGGCTCCTCAGCTCTTATCCTGGCTATTCTCAACAGCTCAAATAGCAGGGACTATTATCAGCACTGACATAAAGGATGAGGAGACATGATAACACCTTCATGTTAGGGCAGTAACTATGACTCTGTATGAAAACCATTGTTACACAACGGTTTTCATCCAGTGGTTTTAGGGGGATGTGTGCCGTTCTATTTCTTGGCCAAGAGCAGTGACTTTCAGAAGTTGCCTTCAGACAGAGCCAGTCTGGTAGTCTCCCCGTTTCCAGTCTTTATGCTGAGCTAAGCTAACCAGCTGCTATAGCTGTAGTCTCATATTTACCATGAAGACATTGAGAGGGGTATCGATCCTCTCAAAAAGAAGTGTAATGGCATTTGTGAAATGAATGTCGCATGAAAACGTTTCAGCTAAATATAGAGAAACTAAGAAAAGATCGCTTGAACATTTGATTAAACCAGGCAGTGATTAAACGAGAGTGAAGAATACCTGGAAGTTTCGGGCTATGATGGATTTCCTGTCATCCTCAATCTGTCTGAACTTGGTCCTCAGGCCCTTCATCTGGTTTTCCATCTTTATGACATATTGGAAATCCCTCTGAGTGCGCAGGTTCAGCACCTCAATGGACTGAGACATGTTCTGCACCTAGAATAAAACAATGATCAAAAATCACCCCAAACAGGGTTAGTAGTCACAAATCAACATTTAGCAGTATAGTGTAGTTTAGTATAGTATAGTACAGTAAAGTATACTATAAACTTGACATGTGAAGTGAGGATGACTTCCTCTCGCTTCTTTGTTTTCGCTGCAACAAATTGAAAGACACTTTGATGTGTTTTCCCTGGTGAGGCTGTGTGTTGCCTGAATGTGTGACGGGCTAATTTTGAAAAAGAACAAACGTAAAACGTAAAAAAACATGCTTTAAGACGAGCATTACACTCCTCAAAAGAACAATAAAGCTTGCAAAGCTTTATCCCTTCGTAATTCCCATCTTTAACAGAAGAGTGTGTGCTTCTGTGTGCTCATGCTGCACTGGGGTGGTGTAAATCCCCTTTTATATGCGCTTACCTTCTCTAGTAGCTGGCGGAGCTGTCTGCTCTTGGCATCTCTGGAGCACAGGCTCTGTTCTGGTGCCACCACTGTGCAGATGCAACGCCCATCAGCATCCTGGGCCGAGCTGTACACCTGCCAGCCCTCCTTTGGGCCGATAGTCTGCAAGCACAAATATATACGCACTAAGATTAGATCGATATTTTAGATCATGTTTCGTATGTATTATCATTGAGTTCATATTTATGTGACACCTGTTCTCTTTGGAAAGCTGGTAACATCAAGTAATTCTCAGCGTAGCAACAATGATATGGTGCTACATATGCGTCCACTTTGAAAAAAACTATACAGACAATGCCAGTGCTTTAGGCTATACACCTAAAGCACATATAAATACATTTAACAAAAAGTTATGGAAGACTTTTTTTAGGTTGAGGGAAGTCAAGCCTTCTCTCAGGTCTGGATCATGGACAAAATGTATAGACATGTGACTGCCTCCACTCTAAAACACCTGTAGGCTCTCTGCCCTTAAACTTGCAGATTTCTAACAGGTGAAACATTGTACTTAGTATTACATGTTGAGTTGATATGTTGCCTGGTCTTCTGTCTGTTAGAAGGGATTGACAAGTGCATGTCTTTGTTAACAAAGTCCTGATCTTCACTGTTTGGATGCGCAGCTTACACAGCCTACCTGGACAACCGAAACAGATATCCTTCATGTTTTAATGGTTGTAGTCACAGCTGTGTGAGACAACACTACACAGTGGATGTGCTATCATCAACCAAGCTTATTTTGTACCATGACCTGTAACCCCACAGAGTACGACATGTTCCTTGGCCTTTTAAATAATGTTAATGCTGGGTTACCAATGTAGTTAGTAAGCTATTAGTCAAACATGCTAACATTTACAGAACACATCCTTACACTGTGTTTTACGCCTTGTGTTTTTGGTTTGGAAAAGGCCAAAAAAAAAGGCACCACCCTCAAAACCTTTATATACAGAGTATCGCTCTTCATTCAGACTTCAACATGTGGCTTGACAGACCTGCTTTGCCTAGCTAATGAGGGGTTTTAGTGTATGGTCAATCTTGTGCAGTGCATTATTTTTCATAACTGCATGGGTCCGAGTATAATATTTGATAACATGCCCATTTATAACCAATCAAAATCGTAGTTTTGTTTATTTATGCGGTTCTTTTGACAATACAGTGACTTTCTCAAACTCTAGCTTAAGTTATTTTCCTGTTACTATATTTCACAGTCACACCACTATGTTAAAACTGCGGGGTTACGTAAAGACAATGCACAACATCTTTCCATTCAGAATCAAGTGTTTCCATTTACATTACACAGTGCACTTTAAAAACTTCAGACATAAACTTTGAGTAACTTCAAGCACTTTTTCTCAATTATTCATAGGAACTGTGGCCATGCAGTCTCTAGCAATAGAAGGATTTAGCTGACGCTTCAATCAACCAAAAGCAGACAAACAAGCCGGAAGATGCTTTTGTACTCATATAAATATTCATGTTCTTTGTCACCAAGGACTTTGATGGTAAACCTGGACATCCACTATAACCTGAGTGACATATCTTAAGAAAAGGAAGAAGTAAGTTAGGAAGAAGGGGGGTTTATGAACAAGTAGAATAGTTAAAGAGGTGGTTATGAAGGAAAACAGTATGCTGAAAAAAACCCCCATGAAAACAGGACAATGCTGACGAAAAACAAGAAAGAGGATTTGACTGTCAATTAGGGGGAAAGAGATAGAGGTAGGAGAGTATGTGTGCAGGCACGTCACGACAGAGAAATACGAAGGCAGCAAGCATAAGATGATGAGATGGGGTGAGGAATAAACAGGAAGGGCGCCAACATGTACTGAGGAGAAAATGAAGGAAAACAGACAGAAGTAAAAATAAATAGGCAAATACGTATATGGCATTGACAGAACAGTCCATCTCACCGATGCTTACCTATTAAAAATCGATTAAAAGATCACTTATTAATGCATGACAGCACAGACATAAAAGGGTGGTTCCATACAAGCACCGACTAGTATTAGTTATTTAATTAGGCCAAATTATTAGTTTATCACACACAAGGAGCAACATGTTTTACCTTGTCTAGTTCAATAACATTGCATTTTACTCATGAAACTATGTTGTTGATGAGACAAAGACTAATTTTTCAATATGCTCTATCTCTCGCTACGTTAGATAGAAGAAGATCAGACCCCTAGGCTACAATGGTTTCACAGAGATTCACGCCAAAGTCTAGTCATTAATCATCCTCACAAAACAGCATACAGCAGCTCAAAGCTCTCACCAGCTGCTCGGCAGAAGAGTTTTCTTCTCTGCACAGGCATGACTTACACACACACACACACAGACACCCACACACACACACGCATGAGTGCTTAAAAACAGTATGTTCTGCACACACAGACACATAACAAGTTGCCAAGACACATTTGTGTTTTCTCTGTAGTTCTCTTCTTGATCTAGTCTTTCTTGGCCATGGTTAGACTAATGGTAATTTTAAGGCTACTGTATATGTAGTAGTCATCAATACCTTTGAAGAGAAGTTGCCAACAGACAATATTTTGTGTCAATATTCAATATGTAAACCAGAAAACAACAGCCAGATGTATCACTCCTCCATGTTTTATCAAAAAAGGATCCTGTGGTTATCTGGCCACTAGCCCAATCAGCACGAAGATGCATTAACACTTTCTATAAATCGCTTTCTCTTACCAGATTCATTACGTCAATCAAAAATTTACATTTATTTTGACTGGGCTGTAAACTAATAATCTCACTTCCTGGTGGTTTTAGAAGTTTCTTCTTTAAAAAATTACACATAATAAGGTGTTTCATTGCAGCCAACCGGGGTTCCCGTCAGTAAGTCCGGCGGAAGTTGACTCCCTGCCGGGGCCTAAGCATTGGGGAGATGATTTTTTAATCTAAAATTATACAAGTAGCAAACTCCTTTAACCTCTTTAATTAACTGCACACTTGCTAACGTTACACTACACACACAACCTACACACTGATTCCTTAAAAGAGGGAGAGACGATGAGTATGCAGTAGCAGTAACAGCGCTTTACTACAAACCATCATTTTGCCCAATTGTTTGTTATGGCATCCACCCAACATCCAACAGGGTTATCTGATATTGACCTGTTATTTGAAAAACAGGCCTCTATTTCCCAATGATTGAATACAACTTACTGACTAAAAGATTGTAAGACAGTCCAATAGCCACTAATAATGAATGATCATGACTTTATTACTTTTATTGCTGCACACAAGGTCAGTCTCACTTATTGAAGCCAAGAGTGACATCTGGCCAACTGTTACCTCTCCATGGTGGTCTGATTATACATCTATCTATATGACACAGGATACACTAATAGGCTGAGGAAATGTAATGTTACTTTAAGTTTTTGATAAGACTGTTTCTATGCATACTGTACTAAGATCTTCTCTGGCCAGATTTGTGTTGTAATAGACTTATATATTCAAGTAAGGACAACTGGGGTTCATAGAGTTATTATTTTAACCGTCAGTGATGACTGCCTTGAAGCACAAGTTTTCCACACCAGGACTGGGTGTATTCTTAACATAATCTGACGTGGACAGGCCACAGGTTTATTGTTTTGTGTGACTGTGGGGTTTATTGCAGGACTAGTTTACTGTAAGTGCTTGACTTAGCCTAATATTGCTAAAAGGTTACTAAAATATGCTATTAATAAATGTATATATAAGTAGCATGTGTACTCCTGTAATACTGTATTTGCTGTAGCTAATTGTAGTCCCATTGGAAGAAAGCTTTTTTTTATTCGTTGTTTTACCACAGTCTAAAATTGCTTAGCAACCTTGCCATCAATATTCATGGTCCCCAGACGATGAATCACAGTTACTTTGGTGATCAGTTACTTTTTGCCCCCTCTGCCTTTTCTTGATGATTTGGCAGACATGGTCATGATTACCGGACGACGTATCTTCATGACTTTAAACTCCCCTGACTTTTGCTCTGGAGTTACCATGACACTGGCATTTGTGAAGAAATGTCTCATCAACTATTGGATGGATTGCAATGACATTTTGTACAGACCTTTATGCTGCTCTCAGGATGAATTGTAACAACTTCTGATCTCTTAACCTTTTGTTTAGTGTCATCATCAGGTCAAACCTTAATGTGTCGAATACTTTAGTTTATGAACAAATTGTCACGAATTCCCCTTCATATTAGTTTGTTTTCATCCTGTCTGCTTGCTACAGTGGGTACGGAAAGTATTCAGACCCTTTTAAATTTTTCACTCTTTGTTTCATTGCAGCCATTTGCTAAAATCAAAAAAGTTTATTTTATTTCTCATTAATGTACACTCAGCACCCCATCTTGACAAAAAAAAAACAGAAATGTAGATATTTTTGCAAATTTATTAAAAAAGAAAAACTGAAATATCACATGGTATTCAGACCCTTTGCTGTGACACTCATATTTAAATCACATGCTGTCCATTTCTTCTGATCCTCCTTGAGATGGTTCTACTCCTTCATTGGAGTCCAGCTGTGTTTAATTAAACTGATTGGACTTGATTAGAAAAGGCACACACCTGTCTATATAAGACCTTACAGCTCACAGTGCATGTCAGAGCAAATGAGAATCATGAGGTCGAAGGAACTGTCCAAGGAGCTCAGAGACAGAATTGTGGCAAGGCACAGATCTGGCCAAGGTTACAAAAGAATTTCTGCAGCAATTCTATATATATATATATATATATATATAATTTACAAACAGCTAGCAGCCTATATGCGAAAGGTCTTTCCTTTACTCTGGTGACTCTTCACAGCCATGAAGACAGCAGGTATCTCTTCCATCTCCAGTCTCCAATCACAAGTATGCACAACAGATCTACTGGCTAAGTTTAGAGTTTTTTGCACCAGTCTGTTGCAAAATAACCACAGACACGTCCGTTCTTATGTGTACATCAATCAAATCATTTTTGATTCATAATTGTACAGTTTGTACTGCAGAGTTAAGCGTATGCACGGTTCCATCAATTAAAAACATCTCTCTCCGCAGCCAACTCCCTGAGGCCCATCCCTTACTGCCAGTCCTCCCCTGTGTCTCCATCCAAACCACCTGGTAACCAGGGCAA